ACTGACAAATAAAACTAGGTCTTTAGTTTTGAAACCTCTAAATGTTTAGATAAATCTCTAACTTTTAACCGTAAACACGGTGTTTAGCGGACCACGCTCTGCACGTGTTACGCAGATGTTATTCCCCCAGTCACCGCCATGGGGCAGCACACTCCTGTTCCACTGGAGACAGGTCATGTCAGAGTCATGTTGAAGAGATGAGCTGTTGGAATAACATCAGACACAACACCACTAATGAAACGATCAGCTACAGCGTAAGATCTGCGTCAGTGTCACGTGACGCACTTTCTAATGTTTGTCTAAAAACATTATTGATAAAGACCGCAGCTCACACCAAACAACAATATTATGTTCATCAGAAGTCACTCTGGCCCAGCTTCTCTCTATGGGCCACCTTCTCTATATGGTCCACCTTCTCTCTATGGGCCACTTTCTCTCTATGGGCCACCTTCTCTCTATGGTTCACCTTCTCACTATGGTCCACTCTATGGTCCTCTCTCTGGCCCACCTTCTCTCTATGGGCCACCTTCTCTCTCTGGCCCACCTTCTCTCTATGGGCCACTTTCTCTCTATGGACCACCTTCTCTCTATGGTCCAATCTATAGTCCTCTCTCTCTGGCCCACCTTCTCTCTCTCTGTCTCTCTCTCAGGCCCACCTTCTCTCTCTCTCTGGCCCACCTTCTCTCTCTCTCAGGCCCACCTTCTCTCTCTCTCTGGCCCACCTTCTCTCTCTGGCCCACCTTCTCTCTCTCTCTGGTCCACCTTCTCTCTCTCTCTCTGGCTCACCTTCTCTCTCTGGCCCACCTTCTCTCTCTCTCTGGTCCACCTTCTCTCTCTCTCTCTGGCCCACCTTCTCTCTCTCTCTGGTCCACCTTCTCTCTCTCTCTCTCTGGCCCACCTTCTCTCTCTCTCTCTGGCCCACCTTCTCTCTCTCTCTCTGGTCCACCTTCTCTCTCTCTCTCTGGCCCACCTTCTCTCTCTTTCTCTCTGGCCCGCACCTTCTCTCTCTCTCTGGTCCACCTTCTCTCTCTCTCTCTCTGGCCCACCTTCTCTCTCTCTCTGGCCCACCTTCTCTCTCTCTCTCTCTCTGGCCCACCCTCTCTCTCTCTCTCTCTGGCCCGCACCTTCTCTCTCTCTCTCTCTCTGGCCCACCTTCTCGCTCTCTCTCTGGCCCACCTTCTCTCTCTCTCTCTCTCTGGCCCACCTTCTCTCTCTCTCTCTCTCTCTGGCCCACCTTCTCTCTCTCTCTCTCTGGCCCACCTTCTGCCTCTCTCTCTCTGGCCTTCTCTCTCTCTCTCTCTGGGCCACTCAATAAAAGGCTCAGTGTAAGTACATTTATCATCCCATTACCGACTAATCGAGTCGGTAACATGAAAGGACATGAATCACCGCCGTTAAACCGTCAATAAAGTCATTGCCGTAAACGGCGGCTCCGCGGCCGCGTCATTATTCACGCGCTTTATCAGCACCTTGGAAATTAGACGTGGCTCGTGCGCGGCGCCTGCGTCACTTTGATGAAGGGCCTGCCACGCGCCCTGACAGCCCTTTGACGGTGCTTTTCTTCAGCCGTTACCGGCCGCGGGAACGAGACTAATTAAAAGCTATAAATTAAAGCGGAGCCCAGTGCGCGACAGTCCTGATGGACTTTAATGAAGAGGCGCTGCGCGTGCACGTGGCTTCATCACAAGCATATTCACAGAAACATGTGTTAATGTTATTAATATAATAATATTAAATGAATTAAATAAGCTCCATAAACAGAAACATGGCGCGTGACCAACGTCCTAAAGTCCAACAGAACTAATCCTTCAACACTGACTCAAAATAATACTAATACTAATATTATTATTAATACTAATAGTCTTAATATTATTAGTAATACTAATACTAACATTATTATTAAAAGTATTGTGAATATTATGCCATAGTGAGAGGAAGACTAAATGCAGAATAAGAAGTATTAAGAATAATAATAATAATAATAATAATAAGTTTTAATAAAGGCCTGCTCCACATTCCTGCGCTGATCCAGACGTTTGTGTTTTCTTGAGTCCGTTACTTCAAACTGATCCCGATGTGCGCGTGCCCTCTGCGCGGCCTCTGATTGGCTCTCTGAAGATGTGACAGAGACGGTCCACGCCGCGGATTGGCCTCGTGCACGTGCGCGCTTCCGTCTGGGCGTGAGAGCTGCACAAACACAAGAGATGAGTTTGGACCGAGCTCCAGTGAGATCAGTCTGCAGCAGGAGACAGGTCCGGGTCCAGAGCGACACTATAGGTCTGGGTCCAGAGCGAGACTATAGGTCCGGGTCCAGAGCGAGACTATAGGTCCGGGTCCAGAGCGAGACTATTTGAAAGAGACTTTGAGAGAGACTCAGGTCCGGGTCCAGACTGAGATCTGAGGGAGACTCAGGTCTGGGTCCAGAGCGAGACTGTATGAGGGAGACTCAGGTCCGGGACCAAACTGAGATCTGAGGGAGACTCAGGTCCGGGTCCAGACTGAGATCTGAGGGAGAAGACCAGACTGAGATCTGAGGGAGACTCAGGTCCGGACCAGACTGAGAGGGAGACTCAGGTCCGGACCAGACTGAGAGGCAGACTCAGCTCCAGATCCAGACCGAGAAGGAGACCCAGGTCCGGGTCCAGACTGAGAAGGAGACCCAGGTCCGGGTCCAGGACTGGACCATGCCGCTGGGACCACAGTAGACCTGCTCCTTTTCTTCTGTGTCTCGTGCGCTGCGTCCGGATTCTACAGGAGCGACTTTGACGCAACAAGTGGAGTTCTGCGCGTGCACGAGGACGCAGTTTGTGGTCGATGGAAGAGCCGCAGGACCAGAGAGAGTCCACAGAGGAGGAGAGCATGTCGCTGTCCCCGAACCTGGCCTCCCCCCCTCGGCTGCAGGCCGCGCAGCAGAGCCACAGAAACACCAACTTCTTCATCGACAACATCCTGCGTCCGGACTTCGGCCGCAGGAGAGAGCCGCGCTGCAGAGAGAGCCGTGAGAGCCGTGAGAGCCGCGAGCCGCTGTGTGTGGACTCCAACTGCAGCAGCGACAGCAGCTCTTCCTCGCCCTCCTCTTCCTCATCAACGTCGTCTTCTCCTTTGTCCAAACTGAACTCGTCTAAAGCGGCGGAGGTTCAGACTCACGCCTCGCGCTTCTCGGACTCTGGGTCTCCGGTCCTGGTCTCGGACTCTCCGGTCCTGGTCGTGAGCGGGAACAGTACCGCGTCCCCGCAGCGGGTCAAGGACCAGAACCAGCTGCTGTGGCCCGCATGGGTCTACTGCACGCGCTACTCGGACCGGCCCTCATCTGGTGAGTGTAGCAGGACCTGGCTGTTCACACACACACACGCACGCACGCACACACACACACATCAAAGTACACACGCACAGTATACATGTAAACACAACATTAAATTACATGTAAACACAAACACACACACACATAGGCTTCCATCATCTGTGAGCGTAGCAGCTGTTCTTACACACTCAGATGAAAACACACTCAGATGAAAACACACTCAGATGAAAACACACTCAGATGAAAACACACTCAGATGAAAACACACTCAGATGAAAACACACACAGATGAAAACACACTCAGATGAAAACACACTCAGATGAAAACACACTCAGATGAAAACACACTCAGATGAAAACACACACAGATGAAAACACACACAGATGAAAACACACTCAGATGAAAACACACTCAGATGAAAACACACACAGATGAAAACACACTCAGATGAAAACACACTCAGATGAAAACACACTCAGATGAAAACACACACACACACATGTAGGCATCTGATCGCAGGACCTGGCTTTTCTTACACACACAACTTAAAATACATAAAACCACAAACGCACACACACATGTAGGCTTCCATCTGTAGCGAGACCGGGCTGTTCTAATATACACACACACGCACATACCCGCGCACACACACACGTATCTAAAACACGTTCACGCGCGGCCGTGTTTCTGCCCCGTGCGCTCACATATATATATTTCTAATTAAACTGTATTTATTTAGTATTTTAGTGTCAGAAAAGTAGCGTCACAAACACAGGCTCCTCTGAAAGCAAAGGAAAAGTATCGGTCTGAAACAGAAGAGTTTAGAGAATCTTTAATCATAAATGTTTCAATAATGATCCAGAGAAATGTTTTATTACGTCATTGTTACACTATATTTGGGCATTTCCGGATGAGTTATTTTTCTTTAAATTATATCCGTTTGGAGATATTATAATGTTCTTCTTCTTTGTCTGTTTTGAGTTGACGTTTCCTTTGTCCGTGTTTCTATAAGAACAATGTCATTTATGCATATATATATATATATATATATATATACATATATTATATTATATAAGTCCAGCGTAATGGCTCTTGCTTTTACTTTGGCAAAAAATAAAAAATTAATCCCAAAAAAAATTATAAATGTTTTTTTGATTTAGACACATTTTATTTCAGTCACAAAAAACACACTATTTTTAAATGTGATGTGTTTTAAAATGATCGGAAATAAAATTTGTTATTGGTGAAAAATGACTTTATTGAGAGATAATGAACGGGGGTCAAGGTTCGCGTCAAAAACAAACTATGACAGAAGAGAAAAGGCAAAAACATTTAAAAAACATTTATATGATTTCTCTGTATTTTAGGCACATATAATATTTACTGTATATTTGGGCACATAAAAACATTTCTCTGTATTCCAGACACATCTGTATATTTTAGACACATAGATATTTTTCTGTATTTTAGACCCAGATGGTTCATCGGACCCAGAGAATAGTTTCAGACACAAAGATATTTTTCTGTATATCTTAGACACATATATATATTTCTCTGTGTATTTAGGCACATAGAAATGTTTTCATGTTAAACACAGAGATTTCTCTGTATTTGGGGCACATTATATTTACTGTATATTTGGGCACATAGATATTTCTCTGTGTATTTAGGCACATAAAGAGAATGTTCTATATATTTGGGCACATATAGTATTTACTGTTTGGGCATAAATAGAAATATCTCTATTTCAGACACACAGAAATGTCTCTATATTTGGGGCACATATGATATTTTGTGTATATGGGTACACAAAGATATTTCTCTGTGTATTTAGACACATGTAGAGAATTCTCTATATATTTATATATAGAGAAAAAAAATACTATATATATATATATATAGTATTTACTGTTTGAGCATCTATAGAAATATCTCATATATTTATCTCTGTGTATTTCAGACCAATATATTTTTTACACATACAGACCCAGAGTATAGTTTCAGACACATATTTTTATCTGCGTATTTTAGGCACATATATATATATCTGTGTATTTTAGGCACATGTATATTTATCTGTGTATTTTAGGCTATATATATATATTTGTCTGTATATTATAGACACACATAGTGAAGTTAATCGGACCCAGAGTATATATAGTTTCAGACACATGTAGATATCTCTGTGTATTTTAGACACATATTTATCTGTGTATTTAAACACATATATGTATTTTTGTGTGTATTTTAGACACATATTTATCTGTGTATTTAGGCACATAAATATATATTTTTATGTGTATTTTAGACACATATACTGTATATATTTTTTTGGGTATTGTAGACATATCTTTCGGACCAGAGTATATATTTCCAGACGCGCTCTCCTCTCTCTGCGGCCTCTCTCTTCTTCGCTGTGACATTTACGTCTTGTTGGTGTTTATTGTTGTCTCCACGTCAGGCCCGAGGACACGCAAACTGAAGAAGAAGAAGAACAGCAAAGAGGACAAGCGGCCGCGCACCGCCTTCACCGCGGAGCAGCTCCAGAGACTCAAAACCGAGTTCCAGACCAACCGGTACATCACGGAGCAGCGGCGGCAGGCTTTGGCCCAAGAACTCAACCTGAACGAGTCTCAGATCAAAATATGGTTCCAGAACAAACGGGCCAAGATCAAAAAGGCCACGGGCTACAAGAACGGCCTGGCGCTGCAGCTGATGGCGCAGGGACTATACAACCACTCCACCACCACGGTCCAGGACGAGAAGGAGGACAGCGAGTGACGTCACCACCACCGTGCGAGTGACGTCACCACCACGGTCCAGGACGAGAAGGAGGACAGCGAGTGACGTCACCACCACGGTCCAGGACAAGGACAGCGAGTGACGTCACCAGGGGGGGGGCTATTTAAAGATGTGTGAATACTCTATGGACATAATTATATTAAAGTTTATATAGCCACACGATCATGTTGTATATTTAATTTGCGCTATATACTACTATTACTTCTTCTTCTACTGTTTTTATGGATAGGATTCTCTCTGTGTCCCATGATGCAGCAGCAGCGTCGACTTTGCGTCAGAAATCAAAGCCAAAGATTTGAACATGTCCATTTCATCTGAAGTGTGAAATAAAGGCCAGAACAGAGTTGTGTTTCCAAGACCCAACTATAAACACAGATCAGTCCAAAAAGTGTCATAAAGTTGGACAATATAAAACATGTCCGCGGCGTTTTACTTTGATGTTTGGTCACGTGAGAAGCGTGGGTTTAGCTCCGTGACGTCATCTGCGATAAAAGGACAGTGTTTGTTCGAAATGTCTAATTGGTTTCGTTTGTGAGTGAAGCGGTTAATCGCGGTGTAAAGCAGCGGGAGGTGTGTGGGACATGGCCCGGTCTGACCCCGGGATCAGAGCCGCGGGGCCCGGGGCCGTGAACCCCGTGACACCGCGTGTGTGGTTCTGATTCCTGGGTGTTTAGGAGCGTGCGTAAAGAGGACCAAAGACTAGGGCTGAGACTGGGACTGGGACTGGGACTGTAGCTGAGGCTGGGACTGGGGCTGAGGCAGAGACAGAGACACTGCAGGACTGGGTTTGGGACTGAGACTGGGGCTGGGACTGGGACTGAGACTGGGACTGAGACCGAGGGCCACAAGGTCTGGATCTTTAACTCTGCAAAACCTGTAATAATAATAATAATAATAATTTTACGGCAAATAAGAAACACATCCTGGTGACAATAATCTGTATTTTTAATAATAAGCCTGTGCCGTACATCCTATTTCTACCATTTATTTGTATTGTTTTAATAATAATAATAATAATAATAATAAATATACATATATATATATATATATATATATATTATATATAATATATATATCTCCAACATAGGCTGCTATTTTTCTTCTTGCAGTGAAATATTATTCTTGTGATTATTTCCTGCTCTGGGTTTAGCTTCAACACCGCGGTCTAGAATCTGCTGTTTTTGTGCTTTTGTCTAATTTTATGTAAAATACAACAAAAAAACTGTTATTTTTATGTTCTAATGTTATTATAAAAACATAGTCAACTCAAACCCAGCCCTAAAACACTTTCGTTTAGTTTAGTTTATTCAATTTATTTCATATATTTTTGTCAAACGCAAAAACAATTTCAGACATTTCGGGAAAAAAGTCAAAATCCAGACCAGCCTCAGGTCTGTGCCAAAAACGAGGAAATTCTATAAAAATTAGGGAGACAATTAAAAAATATATATTCTTAAAAACTCCCAATACTTGAACATTGTCACAACAAAAACAACTAATTTACATATTTCAGTAAAAATCACGTGACATTACTTTCAAAAACAAACAAGTCTAAACACATTTGAATTTCTTTAGTTTTTAAGGTTAATTTGACGTATTTCTGGCATTTACGCACATACGTCACCAAAACGTGCTAACTCCTTCAGACTGAACGTGGATATTCCTTCAGCCTCAGAACCTCCATAAAAATAATAATAATAATAATAATAATAATAATAATAATAGTTTCTGGGGACGCGGTTCGTTAAGGGCCTTGCTCTCAGTCGGAGCGTGTATACAGAATGTTATTTGTTTACGACCCAGAGCGCGTGTGGTTATTTAATTAAGCGCTAACGAGGCCTTGTGCGCGTGCGTGGCTCTTCACTATAATCATGTCTCTGAGAGTATTTATAGAGCTATATTTAATAACACCCCCGCTGCAGACTGGATCAGAATAATTGATTCCGGTGAAGACGACAGGGATCCGCGGGTTCTGGGCCACTCCTCAGGTCGCGGCGTTTAATTAATATTTCACTCTTATTTATTTATTTGTCAAACTCCAGAGATGACGAGGCCAACGCACGGAAGTCTCAGGTGCACCGGAGCCTACGGGGTCGTGCGTGAAGCGTCCTCCCGAGAGACGCGAAGAAGAAGAAGAAGAGAAAGGACTTTATACATTTACACAGAGATATAATAACTCAGAGATAAGATGCTGCACTTCAGCTGAGAATAATAAAACTGTTTTTGATTCTAATTCTTGAAATGAAGACTTATCGGTACGTATTTGTGACGTAATGACGTATTTGAGACGATTCAAAACGATCATGTACTTATATCCAGATGTCTTTCCCAAACTGGTGCTGATGGTCCAATAATAATAATCTAAATCCTTCAGTGTGTGATGAAAGTGGCTCATTATTTAAACAGGGCAAAGATCTATGTATTTATTGGTCATTTCTATTTTTAAATGTGTTTTATTAACTTTTTTCAGCACAAAAACAGCTGAATATCAACTATGTAGCAAGCAAGTTAAATTATGCAAAAATACAACCGGCTCAATTCATTTCATTCTTGTGCCGCGTTAAATCATAGCAGTAGTTTTCTCTGAGGACTTTACAAACTGACGATTCTCCAACGCAGATTAAAGAATCAAACAGGAAATGCAATGATAAAAACACAGACATTGGTTCATGAGGAGCAGAGACGTTTATAAATCATGATAAATGTCCTTAAATGTCCTGGATCCAGTCTGTACTTAGACCCCACAGACCGGACCGGACCAAGTCTATAACCCCAGAGTGAGAAAAGAGAGAAACCTCCTCTGGATAGACCCAAAACCCTGAGGATAAAACTCCAAAAGGACATATCAGTAACTGTCTCTAAATGTGAACCCTCAGAAGTCAAACCTGGGACTTGTTCTGCATGAGTGGATCTTCTGACAGTATTTAACATTTGTACAATTATGAAACGTCTCCGTCTCTTTGCTCCTCTCTCCTCTGTCTCCGCCTCGTCGTTTAAGAAGCTGGAGATTTATCTGTAAAACAAAGAATTAAAGAAAGAGGAAGCCGGGCAGGGATAGTTTGCACAGTGAGCTCCGTCAGCCTCGCGGGCACAATATGGATTTAATTTATATGCAAATGACAGCAATAAAAGGGAGAATACACACTGGAAATGTGGCGAGAAAAGGATTCACAAACGCAGAGTCCTGGTTTATCCTCCTCCATGTTTTATAATATCATAATATTCACCACGGGACAGAAACCGCTGGAATCAGACGGAAATTAGACTTTTACAAATAAGATTCTAACGGTTCGGGCTTTTCAGGATGGATTTTGGTTTTGCACAGATAAAAACACAGATTTGTCGTGTGTTATTCTCCACCAGCCACACACACACACTCCCAGGCTTCATCTACACACACACACACTCCCAGGCTTCATCTACACACACACACACTCCCAGGCTTCATCTACACACACACACACTCCCCAGGCTTCATCTACACACACACACACTCCCCAGGCTTCATCTACACACACACACACTCCCCAGGCTTCATCTACACACACACACACACACACCCAGGCTTCATCTACACACACACACACTCCCAGGCTTCATCTACACACACACACACTCCCCAGGCTTCATCTACACACACACACACTCCCCAGGCTTCATCTACACACACACACACTCCCCAGGCTTCATCTACACACACACACACACACCCAGGCTTCATCTACACACACACACACTCCCAGGCTTCATCTACACACACACACACTCCCCAGGCTTCATCTACACACACACACACTCCCAGGCTTCATCTACACACACACACACTCCCAGGCTTCATCTACACACACACACACCCCCAGGCTTCATCTACACACACACACACTCCCCCAGGCTTCATCTACACACACACACACTCCCCAGGCTTCATCTACACACACACACACCCCCAGGCTTCATCTACACACACACACACTCCCAGGCTTCATCTACACACACACACACCCCCAGGCTTCATCTACACACACACACACTCCCCCAGGCTTCATCTACACACACACACACCCCCAGGCTTCATCTACACACACACATTAGCATAACTCATGACTTTTTAACATTTCAAATCCATTTAAATACTTACATTTTAGTTGAAAAGACATCAGACAAACTGTAGGAGAAAGACGCACAAAAACAGACAAAGAATTAACAATTTGTTTGAAGCTATTTCTATTCATTATATTTCAAGGCAATTTAACTGGTGGCGTTTTGTCAGACAATTCTAAAATACCCACAATACACACACAATACACTGGTCCCGTAAAACCTCTGACCCCCCGCCCCCCTGCCTGACTCTGCCGATCACACACACACACACACACACACACACACACACACACTTCACTGCCTTCAAAGAGGACAGAGAACACTAAAGGATGCTAGTGTTAGCTTTAGCACTTAGCTCGTCCACTGCTTTCATGATTGCATGTTGAGTGAGGGGGAGACAGGGGGGGAGACAGGGGGGGAGACAGGGGGGAGACAGGGGGGGAGACAGGGGGGGAGACAGGGGGGAGACAGGGGGGAGACAGGGGGGGAGACAGGGGGGAGACAGGGGGGAGGATGGGCGAGTTATTCAAACAAAATGGTACCTGACAGCAGAGCGAGCAGACGGCGGATAATGACACGATTTGGCACCGGTCGCTAACAGGCGGAAAAACACTTTGTCTTTTGGGAAATGGGAGTTTGGACAAAAGCGATTCCAGTTTTTTGGACGGTGTCACAGTCGGAAATGTAAATATAGAAACTAAAAACATGGGAACGATCACTGCCAGGGCTTTTAATCGAAATACATGGCGATATATTGGGAATTATTGAGGATTGGTGAGGATTTGAGTCTAGAAAAGCTGCCAGTTTACAGCTATCACTCACATTAATGCCAAACTAAATAAATGCAAAGCTACAATACATTTCTTAATTCTGCTAATTATAATCATTCTCTCGTACGAAACAGATCCTGGAAAGTGCTGGGAGTTTTCTGAGTCTGTTGAACACAAACTGAGCTGTTTTAAAATCAACAAAATCTATAAAATAGTCAGAATCCACAGTAAAACAAAGAAGGACCCAGTTTGGTAAGTTTAGCCTTATTAGCGTTAGCATAGCCAGAGATGTTCTTGTTTTTCTTCTACTTTCGTTATAACATTTGGCGATATACAGTATATTGTTACAAGCAGAATAACTGGACAAAGTTCCGTACGACTAGGATCAGTAATTATGGATCCGTTATGACACTTTGATACAAAATAGATCAGTAAAAAAATGACAGAATCAGTTTGGTGAGTTTAGCATAATTAGCGTTAGCATAGCCAGAGATATTCTTGTTTTTCTTCTACTTTTGTAATTAAACTGCCGATATATTTAGTGTTACAAGCAGAAAGACGGGACAAACTCTTCTGTACGACTCGGATCAGTAATTATGGATCTGTTTTTATACTTTGATACAAAACAAATCCATACAATAATGAAAGGATCAGTTTATTGTGTTGTCCTAGCATCCTAGCGTTAGCATAGCCACAAACCTTCTACTTCTGTCATCAAACTGGCGCTGTATAAACTATTAGAACCACATTCAAAGTCCCAGAATCTGCCTGGACGGACTCAGAAATGTGAAACGGAGCTGGAGGTGTTCCGTTTCCGAGCGCAGACAAAGGTGGCGTTGAGGAATACCTCCCACAGTGCATTGCAGCGACAGCCGCGGCGTTAGCGGCTAAATCCAGATTACATGGAGATCTGCACAGCCACTTGTTTACTCTCAGAGCCACGGGTCCAGAGAGGCCTGTGTTTACAGAGGGTTTGGGAGAGAAAGGTTCTGGAGGTTCTTCTCCCTCCTACTCCTCTCTGTTCCTCCTGCTCCTCTCCCTCCTCCTCTCCTCCTGCTCCGCTCTCTCCTCCTCCTCCTCTCCCTCCTCCTCCTCTCCTCCTGCTCCTCTCTCTCCTCCTCCTCCTCTCCCTCCTCCTCCTCTCCTCCTGCTCCTCTCCCTCCTCCTCCTCTCCTCCTGCTCCATTCCTCTCCTCCTCCTCCTCTCCTCCTCCTGCTCCTCTCCCTCCTCCTGCTCCTCTCTCTCCTCCTCTCCTCCTGCTCCTCTCTCTCCTCCTCTCCTCCTGCTCCTCTCTCTCCTCTCCCTCCTCCTGCTCCTCTCTCTCCTCTCTCTCCTCCTCTCCTCTTGCTCCTCTCTCTCCTCCTCTCCTCCTGCTTCTCTCTCTCCTCTCCTCCTCCTGCTCCTCTCTCTCCTCTCTCTCCTCCTGCTCCTCTCTCTCCTCCTCCTCTCCTCCTGCTCCTCTCTCTCCTCCTGCTCCTCTCTCTCCTCTCCCTCCTCCTCCTCTCCTCCTGCTCCTCTCTCTCCTCTCTCTCCTCTCTCTCCTCCTGCTCCTCTCTCTCCTCTCCCTCCTCCTCCTCTCCTCCTGCTCCTCTCTCTCCTCTCTCTCCTCCTCTCCTCCTGCTTCTCTCTCTCCTCTCCTCCTCCTGCTCCTCTCTCTCCTCTCTCTCCTCCTGCTCCTCTCTCTCCCACAGTGAGAACAAAGGCCTTGCACCTGGTCCTCCTGTTGGGTGGCCATGTGCTCCTCCGACTCCTCTTCACACACATGGAAACACTTTATCAACTGTCTCTGTGTGTGTGTGTGTCTGTGTGTGTGTGTCAGTGTGTGTGTGTGTGTGTCTGTGTGTGTGTGTCAGTGTGTGTGTGTGTGTGTGTGTGTGTGTCGGTGTGTGTGTGTGTGTGTGTGTGTGTCTGTGTGTGTGTGTGTGTCAGTGTGTGTGTGTGTGTGTGTGTCTGTGTGTGTGTGTGTGTGTCTCTGTGTGTCTGTGTGTGTGTGTCAGTGTGTGTGTGTGTCAGTGTGTGTGTGTGTGTGTGTGTCTGTGTGTGTGTGTGTGTGTGTGTGTGTGTCTGTGTGTTGTTTTTTTTTAGATATAAGTATAACACTTAAGTGTTATACTTATATTAATAATAATAATTGACATAACAACAAAAGAACTAAACTAAATCAGATGAAAACCAAGAACATGGCTCCAACCAGGCCCAACCAGGCCAACCAGGCCAACCAGGCCCAACCAGACCAACCAGGCCCAACCAGACCAACCAGACCAACCAGACCAACCAGACCAACCAGGCCCAACCAGACCAACCAGGCCCAACCAGACCAACCAGGCCAACCAGGCCAACCAGACCAACCAGGCCCAACCAGACCAACCAGGCCCAACCAGACCAACCAGACCAACCAGACCAACCAGGCCAACCAGGCCAACCAGGCCCAACCAGACCAACCAGGCCCAACCAGACCAACCAGGCCAACCAGACCAACCAGGCCCAACCAGGCCAACCAGGCCAACCAGACCAACCAGGCCCAACCAGACCAACCAGGCCCAACCAGACCAACCAGGCCAACCAGGCCAACCAGACCAACCAGGCCCAACCAGACCAACCAGGCCCAACCAGACCAACCAGACCAACCAGACCAACCAGGCCCAACCAGACCAACCAGCCAACCAGACCAACCAGGCCCAACCAGACCAACCAACCAGGCCAACCAGACCAGACCAACCAGGCCAACCAGGCCCAACCAGACCAACCAGGCCAACCAGACCAACCAGACCAACCAGACCAACCAGGCCCAACCAGACCAACCAGGCCAACCAGGCCCAACCAGACCAACCAGGCCAACCAGACCAACCAGACCAACCAGGCCAACCAGACCAACCAGACCAACCAGACCAACCAGACCAACCAGGCCCAACCAGACCAACCAGGCCAACCAGGCCCAACCAGACCAACCAGGCCAACCAGACCAACCAGACCAACCAGACCAACCAGACCAACCAGGCCAACCAGAAATGCAGCCAGCGAAAGTTCAATTTGGTAGACGTTAACCAAATTTACCCCTCCAGGCCGGCTCTCATCCCCAGCCTATCACTCTGCAGACGCCCCCTTCCAATCATCTGTACCGACTCGCAGCCGCATAAAAACGGAGCAACGCCCACTACCGGCCTCCTGAAGCCTCGCAAGCTCCTGAAGCCTCGCAAGCTCCTGCAGCCTCGCAAGCTCCTGCAGCCTCGCAAGCTCCTGCAGCCTCGCAAGCTCCTGAAGCCTCGCAAGCTCCTGCAGCCTCGCAAGCTCCTGCAGCCTCGCAAGCTCCTGCAGCCTCGCAAGCTCCTGCAGCCTCGCAAGCTCCTGCAGCCTCGCAAGCTCCTGAAGCCTCGCAAGCTCCTGCAGCCTCGCAAGCTCCTGCAGCCTCGCAAGCTCCTGCAGCCTCGCAAGCTCCTGCAGCCTCGCAAGCTCCTGCAGCCTCGCAAGCTCCTGAAGCCTCGCAAGCTCCTGCAGCCTCGCAAGCTCCTGCAGCCTCGCAAGCTCCTGCAGCCTCGCAAAGAATCGTTCTGGAGGAATCGCTTTTGTCTACTCACGCTTACTCGTGCGTGTCCCTGCTGTCCTCTGTCTTGCTGCGTGTGGTCTGCTCCTCCTGTGGCTGCACCTGCTGCGGGTCTCGTGCTGTGGTCCGTGGGTCTTTGCCGCTCTCCTCCTTTGCGGGCTCTTTCTGCGGGTTCGCCGCTGCTCGTCTCGTCGCGGCCTGCTGCTGCATACGGCCGGTCTAGCCCGGTGCGGTGGGAGCCGTGCGCATCCCTGCCTCCTTGTGCCGGTACGGTGTGGTCCCGTCGTGTTGTCCCTTGTCTTCTGGCGCTGTGGGTAAGTATGAGATTCGCGGACGGTTTATTCCCCTCGCTTTGTCCTGCAGGCTCAGTTGGCCCCGTGCTGGTGGGCAGGCTTCAGTTTAAAGCCCTCGCATTGGTCTGCAGGCTCTCTTTAACCAAGCTCCGTTAAATCTTCACTCTGACTGCAAGCTCCGTTTAATCCCTCAAATTGGACTGCAAGACCTCAGTTTTAATCCCTCTCATTGGACCGCATGCTCTCAGTTTTAATCCCTCACTTTGGCCTGCAGGCTCTGTTTAAATCCCTCCCTGGACTACGAGCTCTGTTTAAATCCCTCTCTTTGGACTGCAAGCGCCGTTTACATCCCTCTCGGACTGCGGCTCCCAAAATGAATCCCTTACATTGGTCTGTGAGCTCTCAGGTCAATCCCTCACGGAACTGCTTATATCTGGAAATGTTATATCTGGGAAACGCTTTATCTGGAAATGCTAATGTCTGGAAATGTTAATATCTGGAAATGCTTATATCTGGAACTGTTGTACCGTATCTGGAACTGCTTCATATGGAACTGCTTATATATGGAACCGCTATATTGGAACTGCTTATATGGTACTGTTATACCTGGAACTGTTATGCAGTATATGGAACTGCATATATGGTACTGCCTATATCTGGAACGCTATATATTAAAACTAAATGAATAAATAAATACATATAAATAAATATAAATAAATAAATAAATAAAAAAAAAAAAAAAAAAAAAAAAAAAAAAAAACCGCAGGCTCTGTTGGATCCCTCACACCGGACTGTAAGCTCTCAGTTTAAACTCCTCACTTGGACTGCGGGCTCAGTTAATCCCTCACTTGGACCGTAAAACCTGTTAAATCACTTGGACCGTAAAACCTGTTTAAATCCCTCACACTGAACAGCTACAACAACATCCTACTGCCGTGGCTTTGATACAGGATCATCGCTGTTATCTACGGATGCTGCAGCTGCTGCTGCTGCTACTGCTGCTGCTGCTTCATACGGCTACTACTGCTGCTGCCGCTGCTCCATACTCCTACTGCTGCTGCTCCATACCGCACTGCGCTACTACTGCTGCTGCTTCATTTACTTGCCATCTCTCTTCACTTGCATCTCTTTTACTGAAACACTGATCAGCTACGACAACATTCTACTGCTGTGGCTTGATACAGGCTTATTACTGTTAATCTCTAAGGATGCTGCTGCTGCTGCTGCTGCTGCTGCCGCGGCTTGATACAGGTTATCGCTGTTATTATCTGAGGTACTGCTGCTGCCGCTGCTGCTACTGCTACTGCTGCAACCCACTCTCTCAGAAGCTTATCCTGTTTCTAATGGATGCAGCCCGGCTGAGTATGCCGCGCTGCGCTGGCCTCGTACCTATGCTCCCAGGGTCGCTTCGGCGGTCATGCTTCATCTCTCTACCTAAATCTTCTGATTCTATCAGATGCAGCCGGCCGAGTAGCTGCGCTGAGCCGTCAATCGGACTCCTAATCAAAGGCATCCATACCTGTATTCTTCACTCTTCTGATCGCAGGCTCCCCCATCGTGCTGCCCATCCTGCAGCGGCTCTGAGCGGCACTGAACTCCGGCTCATCTTCCAAGTACATGTCTGCCCTCCTCGCAGCATCTTCCTGCTCGCCTTCTATGGCTTCTCTGCATAAGCGTTCACTACTGCTCGCTCAACCTTCATGCGGTCCCAGACGCGGCTTCCCGACCATCCTACTATCCTGATTATCTACTCTCCGACCCAAGATTCTAAGCGTAAGGGCGCCTGCAACATCTATGGCCCTCTCCGATATGTCTCTGCCCCTATAGGTCTCCGCTTCTACACGGACGTGCCCCTTCCGTGGGTTTTGGGGGATTCTTCCAGGACCATCGGGTTGCCGGGCCGTGGCCGCTACTTCCACCGGAGCATCTCCTCTGCCCTACACGAGATATTCCCAGTGGTCGTGGCCTGCGCGCCGTGGAATCACACGTGGCAGAGAAAGAGGATCCCTGTCATGCGCGATAATCTCGACGTAGTGGAAGCATTACACAAAGGTCGCTCTTTTTCACCCAACATAACGTCCCCTGACCCTTTCAACTTCATCTCAAACATTCAAAGACCAAGGCGCCTGCAACATAATAATAGCTCGCTCCGACACATCTCTCTCAGACAACCTTCCCATGTCAGCAACCTGGTTCAGAGCTCAACTAAGATCCCTACTGCTCCTCTGCAATTTGTCTCCCCAGCTCTATACAGCCCACTCCTTCAGGATAGGCGCTGCCACGCGCGCGGCCTCGCTGGGGCTCCCCCACCTCTCCAACAGCTGGGGCGCTGGTCCTCTTCGGCTTTCTCCGCCTACATCAGGCCAGACGCGTCCGCCATCCTGGCTGCACAACGTCTACTGGCTTCCTCGCAAGCTCCCAGCAAAGCAATACGAAGCAAGTAAGCGAAGCAATAAGATTCTGGTGGCGGCACGCACTTCTCAAACACTCTCCGCTGCCGCAGCGTCTGACGGAACGTGATGCGAACGTTCACGTTCCCAGCGCGCAAAGATAACCCACGATGCATTACACTCACCTCCGCTCTCGGAAAGGAGATCTCAACGGACCGTTATTTCTCACCCCCGATCACCTCCCAATGTCATCCAACGGGTTCAGAGCCCAACTAAAGTCCGTACTGCTGCTTTGTAACCTGTCTCCCCATCTCTACGCAGCTCACTCCTTCCGGATAGGCGCCGCCAGCAGCCGAGTATCCGCAAGTATTGATCACAGTAGATAGCGGTCACAGCATATAGCGATAGCGGTCACAGCATATAGCGATAGCGGTCACAGCATATAGCGATAGCGGTCACAGCATATAGCGATAGCGGTCACAGCATATAGCAAAAAATGGTTAGCAGCATTGCGCTGGCGGTCACAGCATAGTGATAGCGGTCACAGCATATAGCGATAGCGGTCACAGCATATAGCGATAGCGGTCACAGCATATAGCGATAGCGGTCACAGCATAGCGATAGCGGTCACAGCATAGCGATAGCGGTCACAGCTTAGCGATAGCGGTCACAGAATAGAGCAGTCACGACGTCTGTCCCCTCCAAACCAGGCTTCGAAAACTCCATCAACACGCAGCCTTTTTGGGGATTGTGCGCGCTCCATCGCAGGAGCCTTTCCGATCTGAAGGCCGCACCGGGGCCTAGGGCGCCAAACCTCCTCCCAATAAAATACTCAAAACTTCCTGTTTTCTCGTCTCTCCAAATTGAAATGCAGCCAGCGAAAGTTCAATTTGGTAGACGTTAACCAAATTTACCCCCTCCAGGCCGGCTCGCATCCCAGCCTATCGCTCAGCAGACGCCCCCTTCCAATCATCTGTACCGACTACGCCAGCCGCATAAAAACGGAAAAACTACCACTCTCTGCCTCCTGAAGCCTCGCAACCACCGCCTCCCCTCCTCCTCCTCTTCACCCTGCCTCCAATCTGCCTCCAATCTGCTTCCCGCTGCCAAATGCCGCCACCAGTGCCTAGGTCCCGGGGGATTGTGCGCGCTCCATCGCAGGAGCCTTTCCGATCTGAAGGCCGCACCGGGGCCTAGGGCGCCAAACCTCCTCCCAATAAAATACTCAAAACTTCCTGTTTTCTCGTCTCTCCAAATTGAAATGCACATTGACCTTTTCTTTTGTCCTATTTGTTGTTTGCTTCCCAATAAAAAAAAGACATCTTCAAAAAAAAACATCTTCAAAGTTGTGGGCATGTTCTGTAAATTAACTGATGCAAATCCTCAACCAATCCATGTTAATTCCAGGTTGTGAGGCAACAAAACACACAAAATGCCAAGGGGGTGAATACTTTTGCAAGGTACCGTACCTTTTTAGTATGCTTCCACTCAACATCCCAACAAGTACTTTTAACAGTCTCGATCAAACACTTGCATCTATATTGAATGATGGACCAAGTAGACCGGCTCCCTGAAGGCGGAAATCTGTACACCGTTCATTCAGAAGCATATTTGAGCCAATGCCCATCCCTCCATTTTTAAAACCCAACTATCACTCATACCATCAATTCTTGGCAGCAACTTCATAAAAGGAAGGCAATATTCCTCTTTTTGTCAAGAATGGCATCAGTGTGGCATAATCTATTATTATCTACTATTAACCGCATCCATTAAATTGAAGGAGCCCACTGAGCTTGGTAATGATAGAGATTTTTTTTTAAATGTAGTTTGGATCAATGACTTAGAGAGAAAGGTGTTCAGCCTAGAGATTTTCTGTAGACAATTTCTAAGTTGTAGAAATTTCCAAAAGTAACATTGTTGTTTTAAATCCACAAAGGATTTCATGATTACATTAAAGTAGAGGTCTTTAAAATGTTTTATTCCTTTGAAATACCAATCTTTCCAGAAAAAAAATATGTATCCTAGCGGTGGAAGCTGTCAACTGTTTGACAGTATTATAAACATCCAACAGTCCATATATCCATCAAGGTAAACTAATCAAATTCTTAATATTATCCCAATACTCATATTGGAGAAGCTGAGAAAATATTTTGTTGTTTGCACTATTTTTATAGCAACTATAAATAATGATCTGTTTTTATACTATCAGTATTTTAAACATATGTAAAATTATTTATTTCAAGTGTTTGCAATTTATTCTGGGACTTCATTTGTGTATAATATAATGTAATTATCCTTTGTTTTATTATCTCTGCAGTTTAGTATTGCTGTTTGAAAAAATAATTAATTCATTAATTCATTAATGTGCACCAGATAGATAATATTGGGCATCAGCAGATACCAAAGTACAAGGTATCGGTATTGTGACTGGAAAAGCTGAATCAGAGCATCCCTTGTTGTAAACTTAATAACTCTTGTGTATTGTTCCTCACCTCCATTTCGTCTTTCACTCCCAGGTTGTCATCTAAGACTCTGCGATGCGGTGCGTTCTGATTGGCGGCTTTGGACTCTGTATGGTTCTTGGCTTCAGGTTTGGCCATGCCCCTTGTGGTCTTGTGGACTTCAGGCCAGCTCATGTCATGTACCAGATGAGGCTGGACTCGCACTAACTCCAGTGTCACTTGTCGTCGGGCTCGAATGATCTCCCGAAAGAAGAAAGGATAGCTCTGGTCCTGGTCCAGGTCCAGGCCTGATCCGGCGAAACTCTGGGGAATGACTCGCGGAGAGGAACTCAGTGTCATGACATTGCTGCTGCACGCCAGAGCTGAGGATAACAGTAAGAAGGTTGGGTTATTATGGATTATTATTATATGCCTTGGACCGTACGCGCGCTCTGATTGGCTGATTACCGGTTTGATATTTTCCCATCTCAGACCGTTACCATGACAATTGGTCCGAACAGCACGTATCACATATGATAACTTTCCTGAGTTTCCTCGGTAAAAAAGAAATAATGGGCAACAACTGGGAGCATTTTCCCAGTGAATTCTATTATCCGGAAATTATTCTATTATTAAGAAATTACAAAAAATAACTAAAAGACAAGATGAGATTGACAACTTCGTTGCAGACCAGAAAGCTAAAAACACGATTAGGAAAACTAAGTCGGAGATTGATATTTGCATAAATTAAAAATATTCATATAATAAAACATTTATTAACCTCGGTTAATAAGCCGTTAATATCATTTCGTATCTTAGAGTGTGAAATCATCAAAATATTTGCAATCTGTTTTTGTAATATACATAAAATCCCCAAAAAATTTGGAAGAAACACTTTTGTTTTACAGTTTTTTTTAGTCGCTTTGATGCATTTCTCACATCAGACTTACAGTAGGTCCCACTTTGTTTTGTCGCCTTTCACGCGTGAATCACACGAGACTCACGTGTGATTCACGTGTCTTTTATTTATTTTTTCCCCAGTGATGCTGCAATGACCCAAACAACCACCAGGTGGCACTTGTGAGCAGGGTTAGGAAAATTGGCTTCTCATCGGTCTTTCTTCTCTGTTCACCGGACAACTTTCTGTGGCTTTATAGCTCAATGATAAGGAGGTGGACTCTGGTGTGAGAGGACTCGGGTTCAAGTAGAGTCTATGACACTTTTGATTTTGTTGACGTTTACATTTTTTCTAAAACATACTTAGTAATTAGGCCAACACATTTAAAATAGTTGCTAGACTGTAGTAAACTGTTGTAAACTTCACAATCTGCACCAACCAAACTGCAGGAAAAAAATGCAACTTTATTCAGTAACGGAGTAATCTGATTCATATACTCCCCCCGCTAATAAAATTTGAGGATTGGCCGAGGCTCGAACCCCAATCGTCCAAGCGAAAGTCTTGGACAATCCTGCTACGCCACACAGGCGCTGGAGGAAACACTTGATCTAATACGAAACACTGCTGAGTGAATGAGCCGTGCGGATGTGCGGGACGCTTAAAATGCCTTATATGCAAGTTAATGCAAATGTTTGCCATATGATCTGCTACTCCTGTGCATTTTAGAATTCCTAATTAATGGTAGCTATATGTAACATGTGTAGTTTAATTTTTTGTAATTATACACAGCCTATATATTGCTAATCAAAGTAAAAGAATTCAGAATACAGTGTACTCGTGTACATAACATCATAACTCAATACTTCAAAAACTCATAAACTTGGTACTTCACTCGGTACTTCAAAAAACTCAGAACTCGGAATACTTCAAAAACTCAGAAAACTCATAAAACATGTTCAGATCTTTCATAAAACTTGTCAACATTCTTCAGTAAAATACCAAACTTCATCAGTCGATGGTGGTTCCAGATATTGCTTTGAAAACAGTCTCTCCCACTTCTTTGTTTTGATTCTTCAGGCTGCATTTGTGCCGAGCCATGATTCTTCTGTGACGTGTCGTTCAATCACACGTTTCAGCTTCAGTGTCCAGATTCAGAAATCCAATTCAGTCCAAATTATGTCCAAATTGTGTAATCCAATTTTTCCAAATGGTGTCCATGCAAAAGAGGACGATGGTATTGTCCATGTCTCAGCAGCTCACAGCCTGACTGGAATCAGGGGCTGTGCAGATTGTCCAAGTGCTGATCCAGATGCATTCTCTTGAGGTTTCTCAGTTTTGGCTTAAAAAAAAACAACACATTTTTGTGTAAAAAAATAAGTCTTCTGTTCACTAGATGTTACAGACAAGGCCCGCATCCTCCACCACCTGAAGAAGATGACATGTCTGGGATCGCGTCTTTAATTCCGACAGAAGACATGTTTTATTGTCGATGGTAGAGACAGCACGAACAACACGAACAACAGAATGCAAGTGTATTATACAGAGCGGAGGCATGGAGACCTCTAATCAGCAGCTGCCACAGTGCCATGTAGCTTGGCCTTCAGATAGACAAAACAAGGGAAAAGTACTGGCTTCTGCACATTGATAGAATGATGAGTTTAACTTGAACAAAAGTTGCTTCAAAGTGTTATGAAATCTCACATATCCATGGAAATTGAATTTGGTATATCTACACATGTTTTGTGTAGGTAATGGATATGTATGTGATTGGCTGAAAAATCACACGTGGCCAGCCCATGTGGGATTACTCCCCATTGGTAGCTTACTCCCCATTGGATGAAATCACTACTTTCAAATAAGTATAATCTCTCGTAATCTCTCACAGTTTGAGCATTTACAAAATCCGGGTCTACAGTGTGCTGACCTGATCATGCTGCAGACTGACTGAAAGGAGTTGTGCAGCATTGAGCAAAGTTGTGCTCCCCCTCAACCCTGATTAGCATTTGTATAGCTCACAGCATTACCATTTACATGTTAAAGCCTCCTGTGGAGGAGGGAGGAGGGTCAACAAACTACCGTCAACAGCCGAATCCCAGAAGTTTCACAGTAATATACAGGGCCGAAAAGAGACAAAAATCACACTTTTCATGCAGTGATTGCAGTGATGGGCAAGCTACTTGATTTGTGTAGTGAGCTAAGCTACAAGCTACTCTACAATAAATTCAGCTTCACTACACAGAATCTACCACCCATACAAATGTAGCAAGCTAAGTTACAAAATTCTGTCAAAAGTAGCTTGCTATATAGAAGCTATTTTCAATTAAACAAACTGCAGTTCATGCAATTTTATATTTTCCTGCATTAACATGTTTTCTCATTTCTTATTTTTTGCACAATTCTTGAGTGTTTTATCCATGCCAAATGTGACATGTAAATTTCTCCTGTGTGAGATTAATAAAGCTTATCTTCTTATTTGAGATAAACTGTCAGTCAGATAAAGGTTAAATTTTTTTAGATATTTATTGAACAATAGCCCAAAACACCAAAAACAACAAAGAGTAGGCATCTGAAAACATATTTCTTTTCGCTCATCTCGACTAGAGTGACGTACTTTTGGAGGTATGGCCACGGTACAACACTTTGAGAGTCCTTATCATGGTCCTCCTCCACCGCGGCGGCTCCTGGGCTCTATGCCATGCTTTTGCTTCCCCCAGTAGCGCCCGCGCATGTGTGTGCGCGTACGTTCGTGTGTGTGTGTGTGTCGTTACCAAGCCCTGCGCATGCGCATCAGCATTCCGTCTTTCTATATGTTTGTTTTATGCTGCGGGAAAATGCTATAATATATGAACATCAGAGATGTCCGTGAGAAAATAGCTTTGGCGGACGCTAAAATAAAAGCAATGTAATTATACATAGTTTATGCAAAATAAATAAGCAATTGATGTCCAAAATAGGAGTGGGAAGAATGGATGTTGGAACGTATTTCTTCAGCGTATCAACATCAGGGTTTGCTCAAGAGGATATCACCTTTAAATTTATTTATTCCCTATTTTTTAGACAAACATGTAAAAGTTCCACATCAAAAAGAGACTAACATTATTTTAATTGGGGTACATGTGGTCTTAAATGATTATTTTTACAATTAAGCTATAATCTGCAAAAAAACGTCTTGACCTTCATCTTTTACCGTTTTTAGAGCAATCTGTCATAGAATGTGATAACATGCAATAAATACAAAAAGACATAGCCCGGAATCGAACCCGGGTTCCTGCATCGTAAGCGCACAGATTAGACCACTAGACCACCGATTCACACAGTTAGCGTCACTGTGAAGAACGGACTCAAACTAGAAAATTCTGCATCACACGTGAACTTTTATCAGCTGTCTCAATTGTTCAAAGGCATCCCGATATAAATCCTCGTTTTAGTCTTTGTTTTGTCATTAATGATTTGAGAGTCATAACAAGACCTTTTTTAGTTCTGCGCCACATGTGTGCGTCACTAGGCAAAACAGGTTTGCACGCAGTCTTATACCTGAGCGTTTAAGTCGCTGGCAGAGCTAAAGCGGACTTAACCTGCCACCTTGTGGCGATAAGATGTAATATTTTTCACGCAGCTGCGTGATTCCCGAAAAGCGTGAATGAAGACGACAAAACGAAATGGGACCTACTGTAAAGGTGCGTGGCAGAGTTTTTTCACTAGTTTGCCCCCTTTTGCCGTTTCATGTAGCTGCATCCAATGCCGTCACGCGCCCTGTACACTTTACACTCTCGACGTAACTCAGCCAAAGACGCATCTGGTTCTCACATTCTCACTTCACACAACATTTCTACATGTTTTCTCAGGTAAGAAAACTAATTATTTGGCATTAAATAAGTTTGACTAATTGCATTAGTCCTGTTTGACAGATGTAATTTGTGTAACTAGTTAAACGGTGAAAGTTCGATTATTTGTGTGTTTTTGTGTGTAAGAAAATAATCATACATTACTGCTTTTTTCAAGAAATATCTGTAATAAGTGATCAAATTAAATAAGCAATTTTGACAGTGAGCTAGATTGGTCCACGCCTGGTAGCTAGCTTTTTAGATCTGCTGTCCCTGTGCCGTCTGGCCACAATGTAACAATGTATCTTTTACAATACATCTGGGTACTTATTACCTGTAACTGCCATTTATGTAAATTTCAGTAGTATTCCTGTATAAGTAAAACAAAGTGCATATACAATTCAATGGATTTAGATATACATATATAAAAAATTATATATATATTTATATAATATATAAAATATAATAAACATACTGTAGGCGTGTAGTTATTGAGTTATCAATAACTCTTCATTGATATCTCACCATCGATTATAACTCTTCTCTAGGCAAGGCAAGGCAAGTTTATTTATATAGCACAATTCATACACAAGGCAATTCAAAGTGCTGAACAAAATAAGAAAGTATTAAAATCATAA